TTTTTATTTTTACATTGGATATTTCTTTACTGAATGACATGTTTTGACTAAAATGTGATATTGTTTCTCATAGGTATTAAAAAACAGTATCTGTGTCCACTAATCATTTTAATTGCAACTGTTGTGAATTATGGATTTTGTTCTTTTATATAGGCTTGTGACTTCTTTAAAACAGAGAAAAATATGTAGTCTAAAAATGGTATACTGAACTAAAATAATGGTAATTTTCTCATAGAACAGTTTGCAAATTAATGAGACAAATCCTCCCCTTGCCCCCCGCCCCTGGATTTTATTATAGAAAATTTCAAACCATACAAAAGTAGAAAAAATAATACGTGAACCAGTTTCAACAACACTGCTCAAATCTTGGCCGTTGGTGTTTCGTATGTAGCCCTGCCAGCTCCACTCACAACCCCACCCCCACATCCAGGATTATTTTGAAGCAGATCCCAGATACGTTATTTCATTCCTAAATAAATCAGTACGTATCTCTAAAGGATAGAGATTATTTTCAGACAGTACCACAATATCATTATCAAACATAAAAAAAATTATTGATCATGTCTTAATACCATCAAATATTCAATTAGTGTTCTTAATTTTCAAAGTTCTCTGATGTTTTAATAAATTTTTTCTACACTTTTTTGCTCAAATCAAGATCTGAATGTATTGCACTTGGTTGATTGATCTTTTAAGTTGTTTTGATCTGTTGATTCCCCATCATCCTTTTTTTCCCCCATTGCAGTTTATCTGTTGAAGAAACAGAGTTTGTAGAATTATTCACAGTCTAGTTTTTGCAGATTGTATACTCGTGGTATTATTTGATACGTTCTATCTCCTGTATTTTCTGTGAATAAATAGGTAGATTAGGGGTTTGATCAGACCTAGATTTGCTTTTTTTTTGTTTAATGTATACTTCGGAGGTGATGTTGTGCACTTGTTTCAGGAGGCATATAGAGCCTTATTTCCCTTCTTGTGATGTTAGCACTCTTTGATTATTGTCTAGGTCCATTAATTTATTAGGAATTATAAAATGGTGATTTTTTTTCTTTTTCTGTTTACCTATTAACTGAAATACTTCTATAAAGAGAAACTTCTGTTTAGTAACTGCTCAGTTACCCTGATATCCAGTTAACTTTGGAAAGGCAGGATAAATGTTTGATTCTTTCCCTTTAATTGCCATTTTTCAGAGTTAATTTGTTTTCTAGAGTCCTCCAGAGGATTTTTGTTTTTTTGTGCCTTCATGATCTACCGATTTAAACCTGTTTGATGCCTTTTGATTCATTGCAGTTATTGATCTTACTGTACAAGTTGCTTTACCTTTGACCAGTTGGAACCCCTTCAATTTGTTGAATCCTTTTGACATGATTGGTGATATTTGATAGTTCTCTTGTTTACTGGTATGATGAAGGTGTTCCACGTTCATTTTTCATGGCCTGCCCCATACTTGGAATCCATCGTTTTGCCAAGGGGCCCTGGGTTGCTTTAGGGGAAAGAAGTATTAAGAGACCATGATCTGGATACTAGGGATGCTCATTATTATTGGGTTGGTAATTGTTTCTGGGTCTTTTCAGTGGACAAACTAGGAAATACATTTTGTGTGTGTGTGTGTGTGTGTGTGTGTTTGTGTGTGTGTGTGTATGTTCGTGTTCAAACCTACCCAGTGGCACCGTGGGAGAAAGGCCTGGAAGTCTGCTTTCAAAAAGATTACAGCCAAGAAAACCCTATAGAGTAGTTCTGCTCTCTAACACATGGGGTCAGTATGAGTCAGAGTTGACAGCAACAGGTTTGTTTGTTTTTTGGGTTTTTTTTTTTTTTTGGTATGTGTATTTGAAATACAAGTATTAATATGAACTCAGATCAACTCAGATATAAAGATCAGACTGATACATCCTATTTAAATTCTGCACTATAGGATTTTTATTTAACCTCATTTGTCTTACATGTGACTCTCCTTCCTCTGATGACAAAAACAGTAGTTTAAACAACATGATTATTCATTTGCTTTACCCCATAATACGCACACAGTAGTTTTAACATAAAAAGCCAGTGCACCAACACTGTGATTACGCACAGCAGTAACTTGGAATTGTTCTTCTCTGTGTGGTTATGCCACCAATTCTATGCAGTTAGGTGTATCTGCTTCATTTTGCTTTCAAGTTTTAGGGACTCCTTTATTTTAATTTAATTTTGCTTTATAAAATATTTACATGGTGCCAGAATGCTTCTTAGAAGCGAGGATGGCGAGACTTCGTCTCACATACTTTGGACATGTTATCAGGAGGGACCAGTCCCTGGAGAAGGACATCA